ATTGAAGTAGAAAAAGTCCAGATGACAAATGGCAATGAATTCGTATTGACTTCAACAAAATTTAAATTGAGTAGAGAAGACTTGACAGTGATTGAGTTTTATTGACTGTTGAATAAATAATATTAAAACATTATTCAAGATAAATGATTATAAAAAAAATAATATTACTCTTCCATTGAAAATGATTAATTATGAGTCTAATATACTTACGAAATGGCGTCTATTTGATGAATTCCTATCTACTTCAACAAACTTCAAATTGAATAGAAAAGGTCTTGACAGTGGTTCGGTTTAAAGTTACCGAGAAAACTTATTTAGGTTTCTTTAAACCGAATCCCTGTCATGGCATTTTACTCAATACAAAATTTGCAATTTAAATGTTGAAGTAGAAAAAGTCCAGATGACAAATGGCGATGAATTCGTAAAGACTTGAACAAAATTTTAATTGAGTAGAAATGACACGACAGTGATTGATTTTAATTGACTGTTAAATAAATAATATTCAAACATTATTCCAGATAAATGATTACACAAATATTATTCTACCATTTAAAATTATTAATTATTATGAGTCTAATATACTAACCTCATGGCGTCTATTTGATGAATTCGTATTAACATCAACAAACCTTAAATTGAGTAGAAATGACTTGACAGTGTTTCAGTTTAATTAAACATTGAAATCCTTTCGTGGTTTAATTAAACTTTTTACTCAATACAAAATTTGCAATTTAACCGTTGAAGTAGAAAAAGTCCAGATGACAAATGACAATGAATTTGTATTGACTTCAACAAAATTTAAATTGAGTAGAGAAGACTTGACAGTGATTGAGTTTTATTGACTGTTGAATAAATAATATTACTCTTCCATTGAAAATGATTAATTATGAGTCTAATATACTTACGAAATGGCGTCTATTTGATGAATTCCTATCTACTTCAACAAACTTCAAATTGAATAGAAAAGGTCTTGACAGTGGTTCGGTTTAAAGTTACCGAGAAAACTTATTTAGGTTTCTTTAAACCGAATCCCTGTCATGGCATTTTACTCAATACAAAATTTGCAATTTAAATGTTGAAGTAGAAAAAGTCCAGATGACAAATGGCGATGAATTCGTAAAGACTTGAACAAAATTTTAATTGAGTAGAAATGACACGACAGTGATTGATTTTAATTGACTGTTAAATAAATAATATTCAAACATTATTCAAGATATATGATTACACAAATATTATTCTACCATTTAAAATTATTAATTATTATGAGTCTAATATACTAACCTCATGGCGTCTATTTGATGAATTCGTATTAACATCAACAAACCTTAAATTGAGTAGAATGACTTGACAGTGTTTCAGTTTAATTAAACATTGAAATCCTTTCGTGGTTTAATTAAACTTTTTACTCAATACAAAATTTGCAATTTAACCGTTGAAGTAGAAAAAGTCCAGATGACAAATGGCGATGAATTCGTAAAGACTTGAACAAAATTTTAATTGAGTAGAAATGACACGACAGTGATTGATTTTAATTGACTGTTAAATAAATAATATTCAAACATTATTCCAGATAAATGATTACACAAATATTATTCTACCATTTAAAATTATTAATTATTATGAGTCTAATATACTAACCTCATGGCGTCTATTTGATGAATTCGTATTAACATCAACAAACCTTAAATTGAGTAGAATGACTTGACAGTGTTTCAGTTTAATTAAACCTTGAAATCCTTTCGTGGTTTAATTAAACCGAAACACCGTCATGTCATTCTACTCAATAAGTTGCAACGTTGATGTTAATAAGTATGAGGTACAAAAAATGCAGATGACAAAATGGCGATTCACGATGACAGACAAGTATTGTTAAGTCATTGTTTAATTCATGGAGATTTTACAACATAACCTAAAACTCCCCTCCATTGGAAAACATATTCCTTTGTTACAATACGAGTTGTTTAACAATGCGATTCGGCGTCTATCAAATCAACTAATCAAAAGCGGCCACGTACGTTATTCTTATTTGAAAAAATATTTTAACCATAATAATTTCAGGAACTGGGTTGGCAATATAAGTACAAAATTGAATGTTAGCAATAGAATTTTAAGAACAAGTTGAAAAATTAATTTTTAGGAGTTGTATAGGCAACTTAGTAATATATGAGAAGTACAATTACAGGAGTTTAATAGGCAACATTATTTACAATTTGGGAACCACTTGGCTTTCTTAAAAAAATTGCTTTTTTTTATAGCGGAACGTACATAAAGTGAGTACTAACTCTTCACACATAGTTCATACAGTCATAGATAATAAAGAATGAATAGGCCATTCATATACTAAATATGTGATAATGCTTATTATTGCATAGTATCATTACTATCAATTTAGTATTTAATTTATATAAGATTAATTTACAACAATCACAAAATACGAGTACACAAATCATAAAATGATTAATATGAAATATATTATAGTTTTGAAAATTCCGGTTTTCAAAAATGAGTGGAATATTTGAACCACAAGAGTATTCATGGAATAAAGAAAAGGGCATCATACCGACGCCATGTCAGTATGTGTTTTCGGAAACATACGATAAGGCAACATGGCCTATCCACAGATGTATATATATATATGTAGGCCTATCCATTGTTTATTATCTATGATGTATACAGGTATAATGCACTAATAAAAATATATATTATCCATTGAATAATAATAACCTGTAACTCAATAATAAATTATTATTCAAACTTCTTGGGTCCACGGCTCTTCTGATTTTGAAAACCAAATTA